CATGCGATAAAGGGGTTGGAGGACCACGAGATTCTCCAGTGCCACCTCGATGAGGCATGGAATTAGTCGGTGAGGAACGTGCTGCTATTCAATTTGGACAAGTGCACCGTTGTCCACATTCGCCATAGACACGTGTACATTTACAGGCTATATGCGTTCGACTCAGTCGGTCGATGCATTCTGCTCGAGATGCTTGTGCGGAAAGGTGTTCCTATGAAATATGTGCACTATACTCGTACGGTATAGCCCGCATCAGGGTCTACGGTGACCTGTCGGATAGCTTGCCGAGAACAAGTGGCGTTCGTCAGGGCTGTCCGATTTCCCAGTTTTGTTCCCCTGCGTAGTGGACTTCATCACAGAGTGCCCGCTTGAGAAATCCCATGATGAAGGCGTGGACATACTACCTGGTGAAAAAATAGTCGATCTTAATTATGCGGACGATATCGTGTTCCTGTTTAAAGATGTTAGGGAAGCCTTATCAGTCCCGGATGAGCTCCGAGTGGTCCCAACATTTGCAAGCGCACCGCGCCTTCGAAGTGTAAGGTGTTGTTACAGGACCATCAGACACTTGGTGACCCACTGACTATCAATAGCAAGAAACTCGAAGCAGCTAACCAATTCACTTACCTTGGTAGCTACCTCAACAACGTTGAGCGCATAGGCATTGAAGTCGGTTCACGTAGTGCAAAAGCTAGGACTGCCTATTTGAATCTGCCTCCAAGGCTTTGATCATCGTTGTCTTCGAAGCACTGCTAGTGTCGGATGGCACCACCGTGTCCGAAACAATGATGTACGTAAGCGAGTGCTAAGTAGTGACAATCACACTAGTTCCTTAGAAAAACAGATAGCAGTGAACAAGCAGCGTTGGCTCGGGCAGGTACTGGGTATGCCCGACCACCTACTACCGAGGAGGATCTTGCTTTTGCTTGATAAAAGTGGCACAAGGCTGGAGGTGAGGAAAAGTTAACTTGGTAGCAGGAAATGAAGTCACAAAACTGTGTGTGATCGGTCCGTCTCCTCTTTTACACTGGAGTTCACGTGACCTAACTTGTGCGTGTCTCAAGACGTTACAAGACATGGCTCGCAGTCGACAGCAGTGGAGTGTCTACTGTCGTAGTCGAACTGACTGTTTAAAGTGTGTTTGGTGTTGAGTACTCTGAGAAGTAATAGCTCATTATGACGCGGAGCAGTGCAAGCTGCGAGGGAATTGTCTCCCTGATGTCACCTTATAAGTGCATGTTTGTGACGATATGTTGTTGGCGTCGAGATATCGCTTTGAGCTCCCTACACTCTCGAACTGCATAGCTACCTCGTCGATCAGACAAAAGTACAGAGCATTATATGCCCACAGGAGGGTCTATGGTTTGTCGGCCATTCCCTATTTAGCCAGATTTCTATGTTACCAAAACGCTATTATGAAAGAATTGACCAGCAAATTTTGCCAGCAAGGTTATGTCTAGATTGAGCTTTTACTTTTGCTGTGGTTCTGTCGCTTTTGAATTGATTTCGTATCATGTGGATTGTATGTGTGTCACGACTGAAAATTCATCCATCATGGATGCATAGAAGCGCATTCTTGTCCCGACTTGTTACATGAACGGTTGTTTTGGGATATATTCAGGCTGAGCAGTCTGGTTGCAATTATAACCCACAGTGACGCAGGTAAATTTGTGCAGACGGGTGAGCAGTCCGATGTTTATTTGCTACAAGCACTAAGGATAGCAACCTTTTATTCCGTTTTGCATAATCAATATCATTCCCACAGTCCAATTTCTTTAGACCATTACTGTATCGATTAACTAATGGGCATTCTATTTGATCCACTTATGTAATATTCGAATATGCAATTCCTCGCGCTATCTATGAGACCGGTTAAGCCTATGCTTTTTCACCCGTCATAAATCATTGGACCATGGTCTGTGACACTTGACAGGTGTGCGCTTAGATGCGCAAATACGTGTAAAAGTCATTTGCCATAGGACTAGTATGCAAAGGATAATACGGATTACAAAGGAGTAGTAGGAGGAGTTGAATGGTATAGGTAGGAATTCGTCACATGTAGACCCCCTCAGACATCACACGCCCGGAAAAGCATTGTACACGCGTTTCATCCTTTCGGTAATCGTCAGCAGTGCGCATTTCACCGGACCCTGGAGTTGCACTTAGTTTGTTATTTTTGGGGGTACAGACACTTTCAAGATGTAAGGGATCTACTCAATCCACCACAGTGGGTTGAGATTATCAGGCGCCACGAACATGTCCTAGTCAAACGGGGAGAGGGGCTGCTCACGGACCTCGGCGCCTGGGGGGACTGTACAGCCCCATGAACACGAGGCTCCTCAATGTAACACGCTTCAAAGAGCGCAACTTGAAGAGTTCGCATTTATAATTAAGCTTGACTGCGTCTTGCTTAACAATCTTCAGACAATGAGAGCAAATATTGTACAGTGAAGGTATCGAATCATCAAGCGTGTTGTCTTTTGGATACATCGGAGGCATGTGATGGTTAGGGAACTTCGAGCGTTATTAAACATCAAGTTTGTAAAACATTAATCCCAATTGTAAGGAAAGAATCTGATAACGATAATGCACACGGAACATATTCACATAGCGTTCGAATCCCGCAGCGGAAGGGTCTTTTGAGCAAACATTGTGACTGAATGCTGGGAATCAATAGGGGAGTAGTCACACATGTATCACTTAGTCGAGCGGCTGAATTAATCGACATCGACCTTTGTATGGGGTTACTATTGAGATCATAACTTATGAAAGTGTTCTATAAATAACATAATCGAATTTCCCGTTTTGTCCCCCAATAATGGTTGCATTTTGCTAATTATGTGCGGTTCTGAATGAAACCAAACGCACCTATTGCCAACTTTCAATCCTCGTCGAAACAAAGCGTCTAATGCTGATAAAAACATGTTTAGCGACATAGCTATTCGAGCACAGTACCCAGTGTCAACAGACTGGCGCTAACTGGATTCAGAGACCAACCTAGGAACTTTCGATTTCTGGAACAACTGGGGCAGATGCTAGTAAGAGAAACACAAAGCCCAATCAACTAATCTCAAAGTGGGTAGGGGCATCACGTGATGAACGAATTTTCTGAGGGTGTCCAGTGAAAGTTATTGATCAAAATTCTTTTCGGGGAAAACTGCACCTCTCGGTCATATTCTCTTGAGTAGGCGACTTCGGTGTGAGACGAGACCCCTCGTCTACCGGTACAAGCCGTTTCACAAGAGGTGTAGTTGGGATGCGTTGAGAACCCAACGTGGCGATAATGCTAGTCTACATGGCAAAGCGGTCGAACATCTCACTGCAATGTTCATTTGTATGCCTCAAACATGGCGCTGTTCTGTCACTCCGACCAGTTGCGCATCTTTATCCACCGAGCACATATGGTAGTTTGGTGTGCACTCCGCGCCTTGCATCCGTAGTGATTCACGACTTTTTCGATTCCAGCATGTATGTCCGTTCTCTCCATCCTACTCAGTAGCAGTGTACATAGCAGCAGTGTCTATAGAGGCCCCACCACCTGGCGAAGAACGAAAATCTAGTGACGGAATAGTTCAGTCCGTAGAATAAGCGCATTAAACTTGTCTTCGTTAGTGTGACTTATTACATTAAATTGGCTGCAAACGAAAAAAAGATTTGCTTGCCATTTGAGGAATGATTACACGAAAGTGATTCAGAGTGACCCTAAACCGTTCCGCAGGACCAAGGGAATTACGAAGAGAAAAACACTGGTACTATCACCTAGATCAGCAGGCAGAGCAATCAAACATCGCCAGCGACGAATGAAATGGCAGCATTCAAGCATCCGGTGTTTCAGTTCGATCGGACGTACTTTCAGTGTGGCTTGTTTCATCGGTTCGTTCACAGCACCCGCCAAGCATGCATACCCGATTGCATTCACGATAACCATGCGATTGGATTTAGCTTTCGGCTTCACGAACAACTTCGGATGTGTTGAGTGGGAAACAGAAAGAGAGGAATCGGCGGTGCTCAATCGATGAAGAGCTGAAGTGAGGAAAAGCGTGAATCAGTGAGATAAACATAACCGACATAACATAGGGGGAAAAGTAAATTGAGACAAAACAGTCAAAATAGCAAGTAAGCAATATGACGGATGTAAAAAATGCACCAGGGGTGGAAAATAGTTCACACGTACATGATAAACTCAAGCCGGAATGCAATCGACCATCGGATTCCCCTCCTTTGACTCGAGCAGATTTCGCTGACTTGTGCGATGACTTACATAAACCGGAACCGTCCTCATCTCCTTCGCTGGTGTCGACCGCTTCTCCATCACCACTTCCACGCAGTCCATTTGCTAGTGCCTCCGACCTCGCCTTGCTCTCGGGTTTGCAAAGCAGGCGTTGAACGGATGGGGTTTTACAGTTGCTCGCAACGGCAGAGCGTAGGTTAACCTCGGAGCAGGAAAGTGCCGTTGGTCCTGACCGTACTGGGTACGCGTTTTTGGAAAGACCCATTGGTGGCTGGAAAACGTGTGAACAAACGCCGAAACTTTTTATCGTATGGTTTTTAATGCAAATACGTTTAATAACAGAGTAAGAAGTGAAATGAGGTGGGTGAAACAGATGAGTGTCAAGTTGTTTGAAGCGGGAAGTAAGTTAGCCGGCATCCGAAACGTATAATTCGAGCTAACTACACAACCAGGAGGATATTGGAAGATAGTGATTAGTACAAATTGCGAAATGTCAGCATTTCAAAATGAATAACATAAATGACTGACGCGGTTTCGTGTGCATACAAGATAAGCAGGTTCATCCGAACTAGAAACACCACAATAAGGGACAACAGTTCCGGATTCCAGTTGAGTGACAACGCGTTGAACTAGTAGATAGGATAGCCCTGGAGACGACTCATCATGAAGCGTTTGCTAATAAAAGAAATGGAATCGCGGTACTCGTTATGGTACACTCTAGTCTGTTGCAAAATCGACTATCCGAATTAGTTCGAGAAGCGCTTAATCAACAGTTTTATCTAGATCACCACAAATGAGTGAACTGATAGACAAGGTGACCGGCCGAACTGCCTAACGAGTCGTTCCGGAGATTCAGAGAGAACAAGCCTACGTTGAGTGCGAATGGGTTGCGATAGGATGATGGTTTATGTAAGCGCCTCAGCAGACCTACCACTGAGTTCATGGTCGTTTGCGCCATCGTCTCTATTGATGAGAAAAATAAGTACAAATAAATTTTTTTATCCTCGGCAGTGGGAGGCAGCACGATGTAGAGGTATCATGGTGGTGATGTAATCTTGCACAGGGCGACGATCATAAGCTGATCGGAACAATAGGAAGCTCTTCAAAGTTTGTTATTCACTTCATTCATTGTAGACATTAGCTAGAGGTGAGAAGAATCTTAGCTGCTGCGCCGCAATACAGAAAAGAAAAGAACGGAAAAATATGCAACAGATGCAAGCCAGCTGAGCTACCGGGAAAGGAGGGGCATCATTCGTGTAAGTTACCAGCCGGATACTATGTGCGGGAAAAATTTACTATGCAAAATTATATAAGGCTAAGTAGTGAGATTGTGGTTGAAGGGGAAGGCTAAGAGGGATAGGGTGGGACAAAAAATCTCACAGCACGAAAGCCACTGAGGTCGTCTCCTAGCCATGTTAGCAAGTGGGTCCAACTAGACGTGTTCAGCGTTCATGGGATCCCAGCCAGGCAGTCGGGATGTACCAACGGAAACCAAGTTCGAGGTCAGGGTTTTCATTTCACTCGATCAAGTAATCACTTGGCCTCCCCTCCCCTTCTTCCAACCGCACCCCGGCGAGCAAACAACGCACGTCGCGAGAGTAGGTGGACTGGCATGCGTAACACGTGGCCGAGCCATCGGAGTCTGGTGCATAAAATAACGGTGCTAAGCGGTTCATTTCCTTTGCCGTAAACAAGACGTCGAACAAGCTCTTTGCTCATACGGTTTTCCCACCAGATGTGTGCCAAATTGCGAGGCACCGGTGGTCGAACGTAACTAGCCTCTTTATGTTGGCTGATCTAAGAGGCCAGGTTTCACAACCGTACAGTAGGGTCGAACGTACGGTTGTACTGTACACTCGCGTCAGTGTTGCACGATCAGACGTGCTGAGGATAAGGTCAGCATTGTAGATTATACAGACTGAGAAAGAGCGATCCGATAAATAGTGTGGTAAAGAGTAGCATGTATTAAAGTGATTGCGCACATTCGTGCACATCGCAAAGTGATGGAACAAATCCGCTTGAGAATTAGAAGTTGCGATAGAAATTGTGTGCCATGACTCTGCACCGAGAAAATGTTTTGCGAATTGCAGTTGTAGGGTCAAATGTATTGTTTGCACCCTGCATACGTGATGCGCAACTAATGCTGATGAACACAGTGCACTTAGATTCACTTTGCTTTTTCAGCAATGTCGCAGAAGATTGTTAGCACGCCCCGGAGAAAAAGAGCTAAAGCCTCGTAGGCATACGGTAAAACTGCGTTTCTGAAATTCCTCGGGAACACTTGACAAGATTGAACAAAGCAAGAATGAATAAATTTTCCGGACTAATAACATAAATGAGGTGACGCAGGAAACAACGATTTTAATAAATGCGTTTGAAGGTATAATCTCTGGCGAAGTGGGCATTTCCAGAACATACGGTACTTGAAGAATCTAGTGAACCTCACAGGGAATTCCAGTTCAGTGAGTGACAAAAAAAGATATCCCGGGAAGGCATATCGTAGTAAATGCGATTGGTCATTTCCAACTGGTGAGATGGGCGTAGTGTGCAGGATAATTTGACGCCAGCTAAGTTAAATGATTGTAGTAATGTTTCCCCAGGATAAGTAAGCAAGGTTTCCATAAGAAACGCAGCCCAAAACGCTCCTTCAACTTGCCCATTGCACTGACTATCAATGTGGACCTCGAAACACTCTTATGGATGCATATACGAATACAGGAGTGTGCAAAACCCTACTTCAACCTTTAACAAATCCATGTGGCTCAATAGGAAAAAGTGCACTTCGTGAGGTGATAACAGGCAACCGGACAGAAGCGGAGAGAATAACATCGCCCAAAAGTCGTTTAAAGTGAACAATGAAAATGGTGAGGTGCGTCATTAGTTCAACTCATGTAATACAGGAAGATCTTAATGAACCGATTGCGGAAAGTAAAAGCTAGTTGAAATATTAGCTGTTAGATAGAACTAGAAGCTCAGCAACATACCGACTTTACAAATTCGTTTCACAGATCCTGGTATCGACTGATCTAGCGATCATGACCAGAGGAATAACTATCAAAACTGGTCCAAAAGGACGACCGATGGTAGCACCCTTGTTCTGCCTGTGTGCAACTTCTCCAATCACCTTTTAGGTGCAACTCAAGATTTGTTCTCCCAATCACTCCAGAAGAGGATGCACAAAGTGATCTCGACTCAAAGGGAGAGAAAACGAATCGTCCATTGTTAGGGGCAGGGGGACAACTAGGAAAGTAAGACAATGCAGATGTTAAGCGATACATGTTCCAGTGCCTCGAACACACAAGTGTCGTATAAGTGATGTGCGAGTAGGAGTAGACAAACGGGTTCAAAAACCTCTACGATGATCAAGCGTCTTCAAAGTGACCAGGAAGATTGATGGGTGGCAAGAGCTCGTGAGATGGACAAAGAGAGTGCTATTGGAACGCGCGCCGAAGAAAGCCATCATCTAGTAAGATAATAGCTGAGAAAGATGGACAGTCGATCCATTCTCTGCATTGTCGATTAGGCCGTTGGGCGGAACATTTTGAACAGCAGTGCAACAGGCGTGCTGCGACACTGCCGCTTGCCGAATAACGTGAGCGTAAGTGGGAAGTAGATGTCATACCACCCATTCGACATGAGCTTTCCGTGTTGGAACGAAACAAGACCCGACGAAGTTATCCCATTTTACATTTTTGCTGAAAGACGGATGTGATGGATTTCCTTCCCTATTCAACACGATTTGGAACGTTGAAGATGCCTTCAGACTAGCGACTGTCAACTGTCGTGCCATTTCCTAGAAGATGTGAGCATACTTTGTGCGAAAATCATCGAGGCCCTAGCGTTGTTTCCGTTGCCTCCAAAGTTCACATGGGTATCATTAATAGAAGACTTACTGACCCGCGCGAGAACCGAATCACAGAAAGCCAGGGTGCCATCCGCCCTTGCCGTGGTTGCATCCAGCATATATTTACGCTTCGTCAAGTTTTAGAGCACAGACACACAGACGACCGACTATTGTGGTTTTCCTTGACTTGAAAGGCACTTTCGACTCTGTTGATCGAAACAGCTTGTGGCAGTGCCTATCTCTACCGTGAATTCGGAGGCCATGTAAGGGTCTACGGGAAACTCTCTCCTGAATTCCTCACGACAAGTGGGGTTCGCTAGGGTTGTCCTATATCTTTTCTCCTCTGCGAATTTGAGATTGAAATGTTCATAAAAGATTTTGTTCTTTCAGATTCTATCGGAGCGGAAGTTCTGCCATGTGATCGATTGACAAAGCTGGAATATGCGGATGACATCGCTCTACATGGATCTGATGCGCTGACTATGCAAGCACTACTGCACAGACTGACACGTAGCGCTGCACGCTTTGGCAAGTACTTTGCACCTTAAAAATGCAAAGTACTGCTGCAGGACTGAACGGATACACCAACGGTTTTAATTATTACTGAAAGCGGTGGATTAGTACACGTGCCTTGGTTGTTGTGTCACCTGGAGTGGTCACATCACTGAGGAAGATAGTTCGCGTATTAGCTAGACCCTTCTGGATTACCAGAGGTTGAATCAACTATGGAGACGCCGGGATATCAGCGTGTCAATGAAAGGTAGGGCGCATAACACTACGATACGGATGACGTCACTGCAAGGATCAGAGACCTGACCAGCTCGCAGTGATAATATTAAATGCCCGGCCGTGTTTGAACACCGATGTTTCCGGAGTGGAAACACCGGGTGAGTAACGCTGTGGTCCGTCAGTTGGTTTTTGACAAGGAGCCTTCTGACTCACCACTTGTGTTTACTTAAGGTCAACCTTATATATATATATATATATATATATATATATATATATATATATATATATATACATTCACAATCTATGACAGACACTGTGCCGTCGGAGCCATGGCGGAATAGGATGATGTCTATTTATTGGGGGAAGGAAGGGGAATCCATACAACAAGCAGAGATACACGATCGTCATAGAGTTAGGTTTTGGGCTATAACTTCCCAGGTTTCCAACCAGCGGTACTCAGCATTTTAGGACCCTATCCAAAGAGTCGAGAAGAATCAACTGAGGCCAGTTGTTTTGTCTGATTTTTCATTTTGCTTCGCCAAGTTGTAGGATGGCCACCACACCATCTCCTCCAGTTCTATCCAGCGAGCAGGACCGTCAAACAACCGATTATGTTGGTTAGGTCACTTTCACCGTATGCCCGTTAATCGGGTTCCTCGGCGTGTAGTAGACGCCATGGCTACACAAAGATGGGCGCA